ACGACGGTCTCTTTCTCGCATCACGATACCCCACTTCAAGCAATTTCATCATCTGTGCATTTTGTCACATGAACAAGCGTTTCGACGCTCTCCGTAGTTTCTCACTAAGCAAGGTACAATCCTTATGGTAGTCGACGCAGTTTAGTCGTGGCCTATGTGCGACACACACCGTTTATGAACACGAAGTAATGAAAGACGAAGTTGCACGTACTTATTACCCGCTTTTGTGCAACTGTGCTGTCAAGCTTTGCTGACGCCGAGGCGGGTGAAAGGTAACACCATTCGGAAGAGCCTCGAAGGATTTGATCTTCCCCAACGTGTGAGCAACGGTCCCTATGGTTTGATATAGTAACAGAACGAAGCACGATTCAATTTATTCTTCTTTGATAATCCACACATTTGTCATCTTAAGTCACAGGCAGCTGACCAGCCACGATGCGCGTGTCCCCGTCATTTCCTGTCTTGATTGCGCGCAGTATCCAAGTTCTCTTCAGCGCTACTGTGTCCGTTATCACTATATTCTTCATCGCTAGCCATGGGACGGGCCCACTTCCACCTATCTTAGGGTCTTCAGCTGGAGTGGGCTTATCGACGTTGGTTGCTGGACTCTCAACCGCCATTCTCCGTAACTACCTGCATCCCTGGATTATAAACACCATTGATGGCGGTATTCTGTCGCTGAATATGGCTGTAGGCTCTGTAAGTTTACAACTCGGTCGTACAGCCATGCTGCGACGTCATCTCACTAATTCACGTGGTCAGATGATGGCTTCTGAAGTGAAAGGCTATTCGTGCAGTGATCTTGGTGCGTACGAGAACTTGGTCGTCTGCCCACGGTGGGGCATGGAGTATCCTGAGTACTTCCAGTGCTTCTTCGATTCCCTTCAGGACGACAGTGGTATGAGGAGGCGCTGCGTTCTCTATCAGTGCAATATTGCCTTTACCCTATCGAACGTACCAGTAATCATTGTCATTTGGGTCCTGGTATATGTAAGGACAGAGAAGGGATGGAGAGTGGGGGGATGGACTGTTGAAAGGGTACGAGGTTTATACGAGCCTGTAGATTCACACAACGCAATCCCCATGGTAGCTATCCCAGACAGGGCATATCTGTCTTGAATTGCCAAGGCCCTTTCAAGGTCTCGTGGAGGATCAGTGTTGCACAGGATAATATAGCACGGAAAGCTCTACCCAAAAGGTACGATTCTGTGATGTACTCCGAAGTGGTGTGACTGTACGACATTGTCGTCGCAGAACATGTCGCAGCTACCCGCAAGGCTGTGCAGGCGCTTCACAGTACCATATACACATCTCTCTCGCTTCAGTCTTCTTTCAGACTCACCCAACACCTCCAGCATCAATCTTCTTCTACTCCATCTCTGATAACCTTACTCAATGGCGTTCACCAAGACACTGATACCCTTATCCATTCTTCGAGGCCTCCAAGCTCTCTTCGGAATCATAGTCCTAGGCCTATCAATAACTCTCATCAAAGGCCACAATCCCAAACATGCCGTACCTTCGATGTCCGACGTACCGAAACTTCTGCCCCTTGCGGCAGGCATCGGTGGTATTACTCTTGCTGGTTCACTCATTGGTTTCCTGTTGTCGTGGACAGAATTCCTACGAGGCTACTTCGAAGTGGCCATCGACATTGTCATTCTACTTGCTAATCTTGTCGGCGGCGTGGTGAGTCCTTCCGGTTCGAGTATAGATCATGCCTGATCTAGTCACAGCACTTTACTTGTTCCACGCTAACCAGACACACAGCTTATAGCCATGCGACTACAGGGAAAGAATTGTTCCGATGGGAGTTCACACAATAGATATGGCAATGGCGATTACCCATTTGACGGTGGTCTCGGCGGTATTGATATCTTGAACGGTGGATGCACAACAAAAAACGACGGAGGAGGCGCGTGTTGGTATACAAACTGGGACAGCAAGTCTAGCAAGCTGAACACTCGGTGCCAGCAAAGTCAAGCAGACTCGGTCTTCATGTTCTTGACGGTCGTGGTGCTATTCGTAGTACTGGCTTTGACTTACTTGCGTATCAAGAGGACGCATTGAAGCGAAGCTGAGCGGGCTAGATGAGAGGTGGTGAGACCTATTCAGGGAAGAGTAAGGAAGAGGAAAGAGCGTGTAAAGACGAGGATCAACGCATGTACTTCAAGTGGTTTTGCAGCGAAGAGAATTCCATGTAATGTAATACCATGTTTCAATTCAGCCACTCACTAAACGTGCACACTGCCGTTCAAACTCCCATACTCTTACTCCGCAACCGCATCAACGCCGTGCACATCGAGCCTTGGGGTATCCACTTCACTCAAACCCACACCTACGCCAACCCATGCAAACACATTCTTCACGACTTAAACGGGGCAAGACTGTAGGACAAATTAGCTATGCTTCGACGATGAACTGTTGCGCAAGCATCTTACGCTGCCGCAAGATCCACAGGTCTTGGCATCGCCGCTAATAGTAGAGCCGCACTTTGGGCAGTCGCTGTGGAAGTTGACAAGTTCGATTGTGGACTGCATATTGACTGTCGTTGACTCTTGTGACGAGTTTCTTTCGTGGAATGTAATGTTGCGATGTTGTGCAGTAGTAGATTGCTGATAGATGATAGAAGTTGGAGGGGTAAAGTGGGGTTGATATACAGAGCTTCTGCAGGGCCAGGCAGCTACTTCAGGCCGAGGCGGCTAGTGCATATGCCGTCAGATGACTGGCACGCGGTAAATGCGGTGGACCTCGCGATTGGAGGTAAGTGAGACGCGTGGGATAGCTGTTTCGCCATACGGGCGGCAAGGAAGACGGCTCCGCCCGATAGGAAGCAAGTAAGTGGAGTAGGTTGAGAAAGCCCGAGGACCTCGAGGCATGGGTCCCATACCCATCATTTGATGGGAGGAAAGGCCGACAAGAAACTCTAGGCGTGCTTCTGATTATTACCTATAGACCCTACCTAACATGGCAGATGACCTGTCCGTTGATAACAGCGAACCAGCCATCTTCCTTCGTTTCCATTTCTCGCCATGTCGCAGCGATCTCTTCCAGATCCTGCTCCGTCGCATATCCACTGTCCAGAGCCCGCTGTTTGTAGTCGCTTTGCACCGTTCGATCGGCCCAGAGTCCGCACCACCACTGTCGCTCTTCCGGTGTGCTGAATGTCCAGGCGGCTACGCTAGCCTCGATGTCGCTTCTTGGGAAACCGGCTTGCAAGGCTATCGCATGCACGTACCTGCCCATGTTCGGATGTGCCTTGAGCCCAAACGCAATCTTGATGTATAGTTCCTTCCACTTTTGCATTCCTGGATGCTCTGGATACCAGTCCATGGCACTGTAGTTGCACTCTCGGACTGCGACGATGCCGCCTGGCTTGGTCAAGCGCTTCATTTCCTTCATCGCACCCAGTGGGTCTTGTAGATGCTGCAGCACTTGATGCGCATGTACAATATCGAAGCCAGCCTCTTCTGCACCATCGAGCTTGTTCCATTCATGTATATCCCCAGCCTCGAACCGTATGTTTGTGATGCCCTTTTCCTCCGCGTGTTTTCGCGCCTTCTCGATGACTTCGGTGGAGGGATCGATGGCATAGACGAAGCCTTGTGGGACGCGCGCAGCAAGGTCGACGCTGATAGTTCCCGGGCCGCAGCCCACGTCGAGGATCTTGAGTGAAGGGTTGTTGAGGTAGGGGAGGAGGTGTGGACATGAGTTCTCGACAGTACGCCAGCTGTGGGAGCGGAGGACGGATGCGTGATGGCCGTGAAGGTATGGTCCTGACATCGTTGCTAATTGAGGTAATCGTGGTAATCGTATTGAAGCTCTAGTGAGTAGTAGTCAATTGAGGGTGTAGTGTGTAACTCAAGCAACGGAGAATCAGAGCGTTGTTATACGAACAGTCGTTCCTGCAGCCTGTGTTAGTCGCGGAGTTAGTTGGACATAACGCGTGTGCAGTCGGAAATAACGTGTACAAGTATCTCATACTCCGAAGTCGGTGTCAAAGCACTCTGGCTTTTCGTATACACGTTCGAGAGCCAGGATGGGGTGACAATGGAGGGGATGGTTAACAGGCGGCCCCAGGGTATCTCCAAGTCCGAGCATCGGCCATCTCGGTACCATTGCTTAGTCACCCATTCGATCGGCCACCTCCATACCTCCACCATCTACTCCAACATCTCAAAGGCCAAGTCGCGCATTACCAGAATGTGTACAAGGCACATCGCGTACCTAGCATGAGTCTCACAGTACAACCTGACCCCATCTACCCCTAGCTCCCACCCCAGCCACCCACCAAAACACCAATCACCCTAGTCCCAAAACAGACAATGGTAAATCCTCCCCAAACCTCACAATCAAGATATTACCCACACATTACACACGCGCGCGCATACTGCCGTGCGCCCGCTTCTGCGCAGAACCTCACACTCGGGTCGACTCGGTCCCACTGCAACCAGTATCTCATCCTGAAGTTACCGCATCGAGTAGGTATTCGCACAAACCGTTGATTGCGGGAAACGTGCATTGTCCGTTTTGGATGTGGTCGGCATGTATGTTTTGGGTAGCGCTGCATGTGTTCATGCATGGAATATGGACTGGTGGGTTTGTGGTAAGGACTGCGTGAGCATATACGCGGGAGGGGGTTTGACTGGTGCGCGAGGGATGGATGGCTGATGGGGCGGGGTGACGGATGGGGTAATGGGGAGCGAGGGGACAGGGGATACATATTGAAGAGTGGTAGGCTAATTGGAACTGTATAGTTGTATCTTGGTTCTTCGCGACGAAGGTTGTGGGATGAGGCAATTGTACAAAATGGTAATGCGTATGCTAAGCTAATCGCAAGAGGAAGGATGATGATAAGAAATGAGGAACGTATTTTTCGTACTAAAAGAGGTGATGGTGGTAGTACAAACCCAAGCGAACCACAAAGAGAACAAAGAAAGACCCAAGCAATGCCGCACTACCCATCAATCTACCAGAACACCGACTCGCAAAACATGCGACTACCTCCTCGAGAACCTGCCATCAAATGAGTCTGCCTCTCGGTCATACCCAGACAGACTCTTTCGTCTCCGTCCGCCCTCAGCGAGACTAGCACTCCTCCGACTCCCCTTGCTTCTCACCGAAGTAGAATATCCAATGCCGCTGTCCCTCCGACTACCCGGCTGCTCGATCACCTCCACAATATCCTCCTCATGCTTGAGCTGCCGGGTATCGTGATCATCCGAGAGATGCTTGATAAGAGCCTTGACGTCGCCGCAGATGGTATCCGAGTCCGCGTACTTGGAGCAAATCACGCAGCAATATTGGCCGTCGGGACCATCACGATGACACTTGACGACGAAGCGGTTCTGAACTTGGAAGGTACGTTCTGTGTCGTCGGCCCATTTGGAGATTTCCCATGCTTTTCCTGGTGAGAGGTGGAGTTCGCCTCTGCAGTGTGGGCAGTAGGGGTCCCGGTCTGATGTTATGCTGGTGGCAAGTTGTTGGGTTGGGTTCCGTTGGAGGTCGTATGCGTATACGCAGTATAGGTTGTTGGAACTTGAGATCATGGTAGTTCCGGTTACGGAGGTGGCGTCGGTGACGGATTGTTCTGGCTCGACATTGTCTCGCCATGCGAGCACTGTTGTGTTGACAGGGCTGCTACTTCGCACGTGTGAACTCCGGGATCGTGGTTCCGGATACTTCATCAGAGCTGTGGATGCTGAACTCATACTAGCACCAGACTGAGGCAGTGTCAACGCGCGCGATGGTGCATGTGATTGCATGTGCGAAGGCGCATGCGAAGGTGCCTGGGACATGATGTGGGATGGCGCATACGGCGGTGCCTGGGATCCTGTCAAAGACTTCGCACGAGATCGCGTACGGGATGTCACGTGTGACGGTACATGCGATGGCGCATGGGAGGTATGGTGAGATGACACGTGTGACGGCGCATGAGAAGTATGGTGGGATGGCGCATGCGAAGGCGGGCGCGAGGTATGATGTGACGATACATGTGAAGGCGCATGCGATGTATGGAGGGTCATTGCTTGTGATGGCGCATGCGACGGGCTCGAACGTGCCGTAAAAGAGTGCATCGACCTCGGTGTAAGCGGCCTCTCATCCTGTTGACGTTCCTGCAACGCAGCCAATATCTCGACCGACGTCGCAGCTGCTACTCTGGATGCCGCATTGATGTTGGCTAGCTGATGGGCGATGGTGTCGCCTGATGTGGGCCCGTATAGGAATGTGGTGACCAGCACGCTTTGGAGGGTAATGATCTGTGACTGGAGGGCTGTATGCGCGGTTACTGGTAGTGACTTGTTAGCTGATGGGTCTCATAGGGTTCAGAAGAGGAATAGCATGCATACCATCGCCCATGGCGAACTCGGCCCCCAGAGTTTCACATCCGATATCCATCTGCCTCATGACCACAGCTTTGTCCGTCACGATAGCCTCATCGCTACCCAGTCGGTCATCCTTCACATACTCGATCCGTCTTGAAGCAGGGTATCCTTTGCTGCGCAGGTTTTGTTCATAGTCTCTTTGCTCTTTAGCCGTGAGCGTCCCGTAGAGATCCCTCGTGGCATCAAAGACATCCAAGAGTGTGTTCACAAGCGACTGCACGACATTCGCCGGATCATCGGGAGGGTTCTGGGGTCGGTCGTCAGTACGCCCATTCATCGAACAACATGCCTTGCTTGCATATATACGGGCCGAATAGGAGGTGTGCTTACTATGACAGCGACGCTCATGATCAGACTTTGCTGTTTTTTACTTGTTGTCGTTCCGGTTCCTGCTTCCTGCCGCACCGTACTTCCCTGATATGTATAAGACAGAAACAAACCTGACTCGCAGTCGAAAGGGGAGCTGAGCGTAGCGAAACTAAAGTAGTTTAAAACTAAGAGCTGAAGCCTAAGAAGTCACGTTCTAGGCACCACCACATAGGGGTCCTCTGTTACCTATACAAAACGTCCCACGCTCTCCAACCCACAGACCCCTTTGAATAAGCTCCGCAACGGATTGCTTCCCCACTCAAGCCCTACTTTGTTATGAATCGCCTCATGCTTGATGATGGCTTGGACAGCTGGCAGGGCGCCATTGGTGCTGAGCGCACCTTTGATTGGAACATCCACCGCTACGGGCCGCGCCAGGAACGTGCCCGCATGGAGCTTGACGTCATTCTCCAAACGTAGCGCCACGCCGATGGGAATAGTGGGTGTGACTTTAGTGCCAGTGCGCGGGGTGGATGCGTCGTATTACTTCTCTGGGTCGCGGTGGAGATGATAAGACCCAAATGCGGGTATAACGCCTTGTGTCATACTCAAACGGGTCCATTGTACGGGTGGGTTTTGCCCACGGTCTCGACGTTTCTGAATTTTTACCTACATGCAACATGATGTAGGGTGGGAGCGGTCTGGGGAGTCGCAAACTATTGAAGTGACTGTATCGTGCATGTCGCTCGAGAGCGTGCATTGGGACGCACTGGTTGCGCTTGGAGAATGCGGTGTCGGAACACGTCATCGGGCGCGAGCAAAAGCGCAAAACGCGATCAAGCTATGTATGCGCCTCCCGCGACGATGCTGCTCAGGTATGGATGAGAACGGTCCTTTTTGGATCGCGGCTCTGTTTTGGGCGCCATCGTGTGATCGGGTGCGAGAGTAACAGTGTGACTAGGGGTTGGGATCGTGGCAGGCTCTCGATCATCGCCGGCTTAGCGCGGTACTAGCGCTGGATGCTCGTGCTGCCGGCCTCACAACATCGGGGTCAGACACCGGAAGTCGTAATATCCATACGAATTTACATGCAGAATGAATACAGCATTAAGTTTGTGACTGGAAGATCTAGTATGCAATTAAGGGTCACCCGCTGTCGGCGTTGGTAAAACGTTCACCTAGTACAGATACAGTCAGCTAATACACCAGAGAGCACAGCCAAGGAGTGCGACTAAGCTATCATATTTACACGACCAGCATGTCAGCCTCGAATATCCGTCTGTTGATTTCTAAGACACTGTCGTGTAATGGACACACTACTGCGATACATAGTCATGCTTGCCCAGCACGAGCGGTGAGTCTAGGACAGCCAGATCCCGACACCTTCAAAGACACCGAGGATGTACCACATGCCTCTTCTACCACCTCAAAATCTGCCAGGGACGGTATAGATTTGCGTTTAGTTGCATCGTCTAGCTCCCCCGAAGACGAGCAGAGACAGATTGTTGCCATCCCAGTGACGCTCTCGGAAGCCTCCGACTCCCAGAACCTTGCCTCACTCTGCAGGTTCCTCCGGCTCAACACTCCTGCTCTTGCTATCTTCGAGGCTCTTCTCTTTGATAAACCACGCAAAGATGGCGCTCCCTGCAACAAGCACAATGCCTACACACAATGCGGCCCTAGTCGCCCTTCCGTAACACTCCCGGACGATGCTCTTGAGTGCCGGATCCAGACCCCTGTAGTAAGCCAATCCAGCCCTGACACGCTCCGCAATCTCAGCCGCATCGTCACCCTGCAGCTTTTCCTGGAGAGCTTTGCGGAGTGTCTGATTAAACGCCGTAGCGCACATGGAAACACCGAAGACTGACCCGAGAGAGCGGAAAAGGTAGGAACAAGCGGTGGCAACGGCTTGGTCGGTGTGGGAGGCATTCGCGATGAGGCCGATGAGTGTCGTCGTTACTCCTGTGCCATTGCTAAAAGAGCATATGCATGTAGCCACCACCATCGCGGGTAAGCTCTCGGTTAATAGGCCAGCGAATAGGAGGATGAATGAGAGCCCGATCGTGAGGTTCGTATACGCCATGACGGTGATCCAGTAGTACTTCGCTGTACGCCTCATGTAAAAGCCGCTGAAAAGCGAGCCGCTAACACCAAAGATGATGGAAGGGACAAGGAACAGTCCAGCTTTGGAAGCGCTGTAGTCGCCCATGACCTGCCAATAAAGCGGTATGAAGAACAAGGCAGCCAACCATCCCCCGAAAGAGAAGAAGTTGCAAAGATAGCATGCGAAAAGCGTCTTGTTGAGGATGATCCGGCCTGGGGCGAAGGGATGACTTGCGACGTACTTCTCGACTAGCACGAAGACGACGAACAGCGGCGTAGATGCGAGACCGACGATGGTGATGGGGTTACCCCAGGATACGTTGGAGCCGCGATCGAGACCGACAAGTAAACCGAAGACGGCGAAGATCAGGATGACCGCGCCTAGGAAGTCTATCCTCTTGATCTTCTCTTTCCAGTGCGAGTGGTCTTGCTCTGGGAGATCAAGCACCAATGACACAGCAATGAAGGCCGCAGCGCACATCGGACCTTGCGCCAGGAATGCCCTGCAGAGGTAGAGGTACGAAGTCAGTACACGTCTCACATGCATTTCGTACAGACAGGACTTACCATCGCCATCCAATGCTATCCGCGAGTAACCCACCAAGAGGCGCACCAGCCGAAGCACCAAAAGCGTAGACCAAGTTGACATAGCCCCTAAATTTGGGTGTGTGAAGTCAGTGTATGCGTCACACGCACTTCGTACGGAAAGACTTACTGCCACTGCCCCCTCTCCCTCAAGCCCACGATATCACTCAACAAAATACTCGTGCACACACTCATGCCGCCACCCCCAATCCCCGCAAAAGCCCTCGCAGCAACCAACTTCAAAAGTGAGGATACGAAGTCAGTGTATATATCATGTGCGTTTCGTACAGGTACGACTTACCTCACCGATGGTCCTCGCAAGCCCACACCCCACACTGCCAGCCCCAAAGATCAAATACGCAGACAACAGACATTGTTTCCTACCGAAAATATCCGAGAGTTTACCGTAGAGAGGCTGGAAGGCGGAAAGTGTAAGAAAATACCCCGTCGCAATCCAGGAGGTAGAGGACAGGGCGTGTAGATCTGTGCCGATGGTGCCGTAGGTGGTTATTACGAGGGTTTGGTCGGCGGAGGAGAGGAAAACCTGTCAGTTCACTCATCAGTTCCGAGAGCTTTTGGGCAACAACAAAGTATGAAGGAATGGTAAGAAAGGTTACGTACACCAATAGCAATAGCAGGAAATATATATTTCATCCTCTTCCTGACTTCAGGCAGGCCCTGGTGTTTAAACGCGTCGCCATGGCTGACTTGTCGTTCTATATCTCCTCCATCTTCTGCGTGCAGTCCTTCTGGAGCGATGCCAGTTTCTACGACATTTGTCTGCGCGTCGTTCGTGGGGTTGGGTAGGAGTGGGGTGGTTTCATGCGCAGGGACATGCTCGTCGCGTGGGAGATTCGGCGTCATTGCGGCGGGGTCGGGATGGCTTGCATGCAACGGCGAGACGCTGGATACTGCTCAAGACATGGAGGGGTGCGAAAGCGAGCTTTAGCTATAGCTCTTTGATGCGCAAGTATGACTCTTCAGAGTTGTCATGGCGATGATCGGTAAGCTTCAACGCGTTGTTGCTGGGACAATTTTCATAAGCCGCGTTATGTCCGTAGGGCGTAGTGGGGCTGGATCAGATAGGCAGGTCGTTGGATGGATCACGGGAAGTCGCGATACCACCTGGGCACGAACGCGTTCACAGATAACGAGGATGCAGCTGCAGAAAACGTCGAGTCGCTAATGTACAGAATAGACTACAGTAACTATGACACTTCCGCAGACCGGACCATGCATAAAAACAGTAACAAGGTATAAGATGCACATTTCATAACGGCTATCATTGATCGCAGCGATTTCAT